GCACCACTAACAAGGATATTAAACGGAGTACGTTTTCTGAAATTTGCAATCAATCTAGGTTTGAAAATAGTAGTTTAGAATCACCATAGTAAATTTTTCAACATTAAAAAAATATTTTTTTTTTTTTCAAAGTTCTGGCTATTAAAACGTTTATTTCACCAACGTTTACAAGTTTAGTATTGATCACATCTCATTAGAAATTTAACGTAGTTTCCAAAGTTATTAATGGATTTGTCCAAAACCTTTTAGTTTTGGAGTTATCATTGTTTATTTGAAACAAGGTCGTGAAATTTTAAAAAATCAGAAAAAGAGTAATAACTCCGAAACTGTTGAGATTCGGACCATAGTTAATTAGGACTTTTTGGTTCCATTTTGAATGTAAAATCTACTGGAAAAGTTTGTAACACGAGTAGCCGAACACCATGTGTAAAAAAGTCACTTAAAATTGTTTACATTAGACTGAAACGCGTCTGATAAAATAAATGCCTATTGTGGAAAAGAATTTATTTCCTACCCATTATCTTTTTGTTCAGAGAAAGTTAAGGAGGTCCAAAGATATCGAGAAGCTAGTATATTGTGTTTATTAAGTCTGATCTGCAATAAGTCTATTGTTCAACTTTAAATATTAAAAATAATTTGACGAAGTTTGTCGAAACAATGAGACAAGACTTGATAGCGATCCTCTTTAATAAATAAGATTAAACAACAGACTGGGACCTCATTGAAAACTCTCCCTGGTAGAGTATTTAAGCTCTTTTTCATATCATATTTGTACAAAAAATAAAATAAATGAAATACTCGTGCGATGTTATATTCAAAACAGACCTATTGTCATCGAGTGATATCTATTAATAATCGGGGAATTACAAAACTAATTGGTTTAAAATTGGCTGTGTTGCCATAAAAAAGTACATTTTTACTCGTCAAACCTTAAGAACGTAAGAAGTTGTAGTCCGAAGGTCCGAGGTCGGGGAATAATGCTGTATAATGAACTAGGTTTTATGATAGACTAAATTCTGCTAACATTACTAGAAATCGAATTCAACTTTATTTAAAATGAAGACATCCTTTTGGATATTAACCAATTATGTAAAAAATAACTATGTGATTCAATTTTGCTAGATATTTGGATAAATAGTTGTTAATCTAAAACAATTCCTTTAAATATTGTCTTTTTACGTGAATGTGAGGCAGGCGACGTAATTAGATGTAGTCTGAAGGTGTGAGGTCGGGGTTGACTGCTGGTTGAAGAGAAAGTCTTTTGATATGGAAAATTCTGTTACTTTTTGCTAGATATTTCGATAAAATATTGGCAAACTAAAATAATTCCTTGAAATATCGGTCATTTAGTTACAATGGAACCAGGCATCGTATGAAGAGTAGTCCGAAGGAGCGAGTTCGGGTCGGTATGCCGGATGAACCAAAAGGAACTTTCGACATAGAAAATTCGGTTTTGCTAGATATTTGGATAAATAGTTGTTAAACTAAAATATTTCCTTTCGGAAGAAGCTAGGTCCAGTATGTATGCTAGATGAAGCTCCAATGATCTTTACTAAATGTTACAGTTAAACTGTTGTAAAACTGAAATATTTCGTGTAAATATTTACCGTTTACTTCAAAGTTTTAACTATAAATCTTAATAATATGTAGTCTGAAGGTGTAAGGTCGGCGCTCAACGCTGGATAAGGAAGAAGTTCCTTAGATATAGAAAATTCTTTAGGTTTTGCTTTATATTTTGTTCAGCTGAAACAATTTCTTTAAATACGGGTCGTTTTCTTCAATTCAACAAGATTTAATCGGAAGGAGCGAGATCGGGGGTATTTATCCCGAAAGAAGCAGAACTCTTGTAACAGAAAATTCAGTCAGTTAACTAGTTATTTCTTGAAACTATTTTTAAGCCGAACAATTTTTTTTTATATTGGTCATTTATTAGAAAATGAACTAGGAAAGTATAAGGAGGCAGTCTGAAAGTGCGATGTTGGATATGCAGCTTGATGAAGAAGAACGTCTCTCGATTTAGAAAATTCTGTGGGTTTTTCTAGGTATTGTGTTGCTGAAATGTCATTCGTTTAAATATGGCAGATAATTTTAAAGACAGCCATGTAACCTTTCATACAGATTTCTACACGAGTAGATAGATATCTTCGCGATGGGGGGAAGCAGGCATAAAAAGAGAAAGTGTCAATCATAAAGACAGTGCAGCCAAACGAGAGAAAAAGTGAGGAAAACAGTGTGTTAGGGAGATGGGAAAAATCATTCGAAAAGGGAATTGAAGAAACTGAAAGTCAGGTAAGCAGAAATAAAAATAAAGAGAAGGGGGAAGGTGGAGAAAGTAACAGATAGGAGATTGATAGAAAGCAAAGTGTGATCGAGAGAAAGGAGGGATGGAATTTAAAAAGGAGAGAGAGATAGCAAAATAATGATAAAAATATGAAAGATAGATCAAGGAAAAATCAAATATGTTAAAGAATGAGAGAAAGAAAGCGACGAAAAAGAGGAAGAAGAGAGGGAAGGTAGAAAGAAACCCACAGGCAGGCAGGCCTTAACTTTAAAGTCAGCCATGTATAGGATGTAGTCCGAAGGTGCAAGGTCGGGTCTATCATGTCGATATAGAAGAAATTCAAACAATTTATAAAAATCCGTGAGTTTTGCAACATATTTCGTTAATCTGGTGTTAAAATTTTGTTTATATGTTTTTGTTTAATTAAACTTAATCATGAAATTTAATGAGAGGTGCGATGGTGCAAGGTCTGGTTCCAGGTCGGATTGAAGCAGAAGTTCCTATGTCTTACAAAATTTAGGGATCTTTATTTGATATTACAAGTATTCTCCCGGAGAAGAAAAACAAACAAAAGGGAATAAAGAAGCACTACGGTTAAAATTAAACCAGTACTTGAAATACAGGCGTTGAGCTTAAAGTGAGCGAGCCTTGGAATGTAAGAAAATGTAGTCCGAAGGTGCAAGGTCGGTTTATATTTATACTATCGGATATAGAAGAATTTCCAATGATTTCAAAAATCTGTAGATTTTGTTACATATTTGGTTCATGCGATGTTAACATTTCTTTTATATATTTTTTTGTTTAATTAACCTTAGTCATGAAATGTAATGAGAGTTAGTCGGAATGTGCGAGGTCGGAGCTGGACGCGTTTTTCTTTACTCAAGGAAATTTCTTTCTTTTTTTCGAATTTTCTTTCCATCACAATTGACGCCCGATGCAACCGATTCTTCTGCATCCAACATTTTCCAATGTAAGTTCCAATTTAATTTCAAGTTTCCGCGTGTTTGGGCGAGGATCAGGATATGTGCTCAGAACGGCTTAAGAGATTGTGGACGACCTAGTCTAACTTTAGTTTGCCTAAGCCCTAAGCCGCGTGTCGACAAGGTGTTTATTTTTAACAACAATAATTATAAACTGAATACTCCAGTTTATACCTCCAACCTGGTGGAAAATAAAAATTTAAATTGAGACTAGATTTTTTTTCTTTTTTTCGGCTTTTTCTCTAGTTTGAGCAATTATGTAAAAACTGCCAGACTTGAAAGATGAAAGGGGCTTGATTCTTATTTGACTTTTATCTTCATGAAAGCACCCACTCGACAAGGGACGACATGAGTCCATTTGTTTTAAAAAGCACATGGTCTTGTTGTCGGGTGTATCTCATTAAAGATTGAACGAAGCCCGGTTGGAAAACGTTGTTTTTTAATAAAAAAAAAATACGGCAAAACCCCGACGGGAATCACCGTATCGAGTTGCCTTTGATGCCGACCCTTGTCTCCGGGCTTAATGAAATCCTTTGCCGCCCCCTTTATTTCCCAAAGGGGCCTGCAAGTTAATTAGCCCTCAATGAAGACCGGCTGATGGACAGGGAACGAAAAAGAAGCCATGCCAAAGTTGGGCAAATTCGGTGAAAACGTTTGAGAAAACAAAGGGGAAAAACCATACAAAATTTTTGAAACCAAAAACTCACAGATAGAAAGTAAGGGTGGGAGAAGAAAAGAAACAAAAAAAAAAGATAAGAAAATATACCATTATATATAAACAATAATAAAATCTATCTATATAGGCTATTTACTTGACAGTGAGCTATAGAACTTAATAAGAGTTAATCCGAAGATGCGAGGTCGGGTACGTATCGCAGATGAGTCACAGGCACGTATGACATACAAAATTTAGTGATCTTTACTACGTACCTATATATTAAACCGTTTAACGTGTTGTTAAATGAAGTAATTTGTTTCAATATTAGCCGTTTAGCTTGAATATTAACTCTAAAACCAAATAGAATGTAGTCCGAAGGTGCGAGGTCGGGTTCGCGTACCGGATGAAGCAGAAGTTTCTTTTTCCTTTTTTTGGATTGATGTTAAATTGAAGTTATTCTTTTAAATATAGGCCGTTTACTTGAAAGTTATCCATGGGACATGTCAAGAGGTAGTCAGAAGGTGCTAGGTCGGCAATGAATTAATTTAAAAATACAACTGAAATAAGAATTTTTTCGTGATTTAATTTTTACCAAAAGGTCAAACTAAACGTATGTCATATTTATTTGTATTCGACCGACAAACCGACTTTTCCGTTTATGCTGTCCGAGGGTTGGCAAAACGCCCAGACGAGCTACAGGTCGCAGAACAACACTACATCACTACTTTGATAAGAAAAAACGAGGCTTAGCGGACAATCTAAACGTGACTCTGCCTGTACATTAAAAAAGATGATTGAATTGGATATAAATAGTACCATGTGCCTTGTGTAATGGCGAGTTTGAAGCGATATTTTCGGCCTCGTGAGATGGATTTATTCCAAACCAATAATGGCAAAACTTCCTTGATAGATTACTCCCAGACTCTTCAATAATTCTGTGAAGCTTCGTCCAATTCTGTCGATTAGTTGGCTAGCACGTGGATAGCGGATTTATTGAAACAAGAATAATAAAAACAGTCATTCTGTTTTTAAAAAGAAAATATGTATATTTAATATGATTGAATTTATAATTTTTTTCCAGGGCTACGTCAAGACATGGTAGCATGACGTGCGAAGGTGAAAGGACGCGACTCGTGGTCCTCGGAGGCCCTGGGGTCGGCAAGTCGGCCATAGTCAACAAATTCCTCTACAACACTTTCACCGAAAAGTACAGGACGACTGTGGAGGATCTCCACTCGAGGACGTTCCACCTGGGTCAGATATCTCTCAAGGTAAGGGTTTCCAAAACGGGAGATCCATCAGGCTAAACAGAACGATAAATAAAGTACGTAAAAGGGACCTTAATCTATCTCCCCAGAGACAGAACTGTGTCAAGGGAGGAAAAGCTCTTCGCTTAAACATTTCGATTTTGCACTGTTTAAATGTGAACTTTATCGTGCTTAGAGAGCTTGTTTCGGAAGACAACCTAAAGTTGCCGACTTAAATAAAATGTCAAGATGGTGGGGTCAATTTTCAACCATTTCAACCAAATAAAAAGAAAAGTTGCACATTAATTGGCCGTTTATATGAAGGGGAACTTTGGATGCTTGGATGTAATAAGATTTAGTTCGAAGGTGCGAGATCGGGACTGCATCCTATCATCAGTTTTCATGACATATAAAATTCTATGGATTTTGAAAAATGTTTCGTTAAACAAAACAATTCTTTCAGATATGGCCGTTTACTTGAAAATGAACCAGGAGACGTAATAAGATGTAGTCGGAAAGTGCGAGGTCAAGTGCATGCTGGATGAAACAGTGTACCCATGATATAGAAAATTCCGTGGGTTTTGAAAGATGTTTCATTAAACTTTTGTCAGAACTGAAACAATTCCTTTAAAAATTGGTTGATCGATTGAAAATAAACCAGGCGATGTAAGAAGAGGTAGTCCGATGGTGCAAGACTGGATGAGGAAGAAGCACCCATGACTTGCAAAATTAAGTAAATTTAGTTCTGCTAGATTTAATTAAACTGCTTTTAAAATGAAGCCATTCGCATAAATGTTGGCCGTTTTCTTGTAAATGAACCAGGAAACGTAATAAGATGTAGTCCGAAGGTGCGAGGTCGGGACTGCAAGCTGGATAAAGCAGAAGTTCCTTTGATTAGAAAATTCTTTCGGTTTTGCTTTATATTTCCTTAAAGTGTTGTTAAAGTTAAACAATGTATAAACCTTACATATTGGGCGTTTATTAGAAAGTGAATCACAAAACGTAATAAGAAGTAGACTACAATGTCGTATGAGCCAAAAGTTACTATGACTTACAAAATGTTAGTAATTTATGCTGGATATTTAATTATACTCTTATTAGAATGAAGCAATTCTTGTAAATATTGGCCTTTACTAGAAAATGAACCAGACGACGAAACTGGATTTAGTCTGAAGGTGCGAGGTCGGGACGGCATCCTGGATAAAACAGAGTTTCCTTCATGTGAAAAATTCTAAATATTTAAATGCACTGCTGTTAAAATGAAGTCATTCGTTTAACTGTTGGCCTCAAAGTGGGGAATAAAACTTATTAAGATGTAGCCTGAAGGTCGAGGTCGGGTCTGCATGCAGGATGTACCACAAGTACCCTTAATATAGAAAATTTTTATGAAAGAATTCCTTTAAATACAGGCCTGTTAGATGGAAATGAATGGGGCAGCGTGATAAGATGTAGTCCGATAGTGCGAGGTCGGGCAGCATCCTAGAGTTAAAAAAGGTTTCCTGGATAAAGAAAATTCTGTGGGTATTGCCAGATATTTCGATAAACTAACGTAAAACAATTCCTTTTTGGTTGATTGCTAGAAAATGAACCAAGCTATTTAATAAAAGGTAGTCCGAAGGTGCGAGGTCGGGTAATGCCCCTATGGGGTTGAATGTTTTTAACATCCAAATATCCTTTGGATGTTGCCTACACTTAGTCCCATGATGAGAATCCTTCACATAACTTCTTTTTTTTTTAACAGGTGGACATCCTGGACACATGCGGCGACCTCCAGTTCCCCGCCATGAGGCGTCTCAGCATCGCGACAGCCCACGCATTCCTCCTCGTCTATTCCGTAACATCGGAAGAAAGCCTGTCCTCTGTCCAGAGGTGCTTCGAAGAAGTCAGGGAGCAGCGGCCCGACTACCAAGAAGTGCCGATAGTCCTCGCGGGTAACAAACTGGACCTAGCAGACGGCCAGAGGGAGGTGCCACTCGAAGACGTCAGCGAATGGCTCTACTGCACTCTGCCCAAATTAAGGTTCGGCAAATTTAAAAGACTTTTGTAACCTAATCTACTTTTGTCTAACCCTGGGAAATCTATTTTTTATTCAATCTAAGTAAGAGGATCCTGCAGGATCTAAATTGGGGTTATTTTGGCCTTTTTATTTCGAGTATTATTTTGGAATAATTTCTCGAAGCTGTGATTCAAAATCGCGTGTTTACAAAGCCTTGAAATTTTCATGAAGATGTTCTCTGTCACTGTGATAATGTAATTTAAACTTTTCCCTAGGAAAACTGATCACTTCCTGGCCAGCTGGAGAACCCGAGTCGACTCGTTGAATGACAATTTAATTTCTTCACTATGTCATTCTCGCTTGTTTTTCCCTTCAACCCCTGAAAGTTTCGCCTGTCTATCGAGGCAAAACCTGCTGTTGGAAATTGTCTGCACGCTCAATTATCGATTATCGATTCCCACGGTTCATTTATTAAATGGTGGGAAATTTTTTTCTTTTACAGTGGAAGGGTTGTAAATTCATGCGAGCTTTAAAGCTCAAAACATTGTGCAATTACTGGAATATTTACTTTGGCAGACAACCAGCAAGATTGTACGGACCCAAACCCTTAACGAACGTTACATTTATTCTTCCAAATTTTTTTTCCACCTTGACATTTCTTTTGAAATAGCTTAAGGCACGCTTAAATCGTATATTTGTCCTGTCATTTAAGCAGTTCTAGCAACGGATCGTTGGACTTGGACTTAATAACTACGTCCTTAGGTTATTTTAAAAAAAAATTGTCTATCAAACTTGACAAACTTGAAAGATTAAGTTCTCTTTCGCACAGATTATTTTAAAAACTTATTGATTTAAACTTCATAGAATTTTTATGTACTAAAGTCCGATGTTAAATTTCAAGCAAGTAGTTTGCATTTTAGGGCTTTCCTCCTAGCTCTCGCACAAAAGAAAACTTTTCCCTCTTTTTCCGATCTAGAGAAATGCCAAATCCACGGGTTTATCTCATCGGTTGAACGTTCCCATTCTTTTCCCACCTGTCAAAACCCACCAAAGTTAAACCTGAATTATAATTACAAAGATATTTGACATTTGGCTTTTTTTTCTTCCCTGGTCCAGGACGAAGTTGCTCGAGTGCTCCGCCAAGACGGGGCTCAACATCCAGGAGATATTCAAAACTTTTGTCACCCTGGCTAAACTGCTGCCGAGCACAACCGACGATTCGACACCGCTTAAAAGAAGGTAAAGAAAGCCTTCATTAAAAAATAAAATAAAACAAACAAATAAAGTTTAATTAATATCATAATTACGAAGGGCGAAGATACTGACCTAGGCTCGTTTTCACATGAAATATCCAGATTTTCTTCAAAAAGACGCCTCATTTTGAACTCAAATCAATTAATTTATGTTATTTATTGTACATTTTATTACATAAAATCCACAAAAAAGTGGAAAAAAATCCTTAGAATGCCTAGAAAAAGAGTAAATCTAGATTTTTAAAATATCTCCTTTTTCTTCAAATCAATTGGTTTTTTGTATTTATCGAACGTTTTAACAATCTTAATGTTTAACATTCTTTTTTTTACATTTTTTTAAATATTCTTGTCCTCATTTTCTTTCCAGTAAAACCGGATTTGTGTAAAAAATACTTATTTTTTGGGTCAAATATTTTGATTTACATTGTTTGTTGAAACATTTTAGCATTTCAAGAAATAAAAATCCTGAAATGAATTGAAAAAGATGAATATTTCAAGAAAATTAATTCTGGTACAGATTGTGCTTATTTTCATGCCAGTAAAACCGGATTTGTGTAAATAATACTTATTTTTTGGGTCAAATATTTTGATTTACATTGTTTGTTGAAACATTTTCGCATTTCAAGAAATAAAACCCCGAAATAAAAGATGAATATTTCAAGAAAATTAATTCTGGTGCAGACCCGTGCTCATTTTCTTGCCAGCAAATCCAGATTTTGTCTGTAATAAGACTTCTTTTAGAGTCAAAGAATTTGATTTACATTATTTTTTAAAATATTTTAGCATTTAAAGCAATATTCTAAAACAAAATGAAAACTTTCCATAATTTAAATTTAAATTCATATCCCTGTGCTCATTTTCTTGCCATTAAATCCATATTTTGCCTATAATAAGACTTCTTTTGGAGTCAACGAATTTAGCATTTAAAGTTATAAAAATTCCAAAACAAAGTGACAAATTACATATTTTAAGAAAATTCCCACGACTACATACCTGTGTTCATTTTCTTGCAAGTAAATCCAGATTTTGCCTACAATAAGACTTCTTTCGGAATCAAAGAATTTGATTTACATTATTTATGGAAACGTTTTAATGTTTAAAGCAATAAAAATTCCAAAATAAAATGAAAAAAGTTCCATATTTCAAGAAAATTCAAATGTGTACAGAACTGTGTTCATTTTCCTTATCTATATAATCTAAGATTTATTGGCCAAAAGTTTTTTTTAACAGTATAATTCTAATTAATTAAAAGAAATACTCTTTTATCTTATAATTGATATTCAATCAATAGTCTTTTCTTTTAATTAATATGATTTAAAATTATACAAGTGTAGCTTTTCATGTAGAGACTTGTGCCACGAAACGTTCAAGTCTGTTTTCCAGGTCGAGCGCCTACGGGAGCCGGAGGGGAGGCAGCCCAGCCAGCACGTCCTCCGGAGCCGGGACGAGCGCCCAGGCGGCCAGCCCAAAGCCTCGCTCACGAAGCCTCATACGGCGTTCAAGCCGCAAGACGAAGCAGCACTTGTCCGACTCGAACGCAGACTCAACCGACTGCATCATATCTTAGTTCTGCAGGTCTGAACATGATGGGCAACCCTATATATTTCAAAAGAAAAAAGGAAAATTAACAGCTCACAATCAATTTTAGAATTTTAGTTGGTATTTTGACAAGTTAAAGTTTTGCTACCGGGGTAGACAATTATCTGCAAAATACCCTTGAGATGTTTTGTATTCAATTATCTTAATTATGATAATATTAGATCCTTTAAAGTCAATAAATTGGAATTAGAGTGTGAAATAAATGTTTTATTTAACTTGAAGGTAAAGGAGCTTTAAATGAATAAGTAATTAAGATTTTATTATTTAAACAAATAATTAAGAGTGTGTTTCAATTTGTTGGTGACATTTGAAAGAAAGAAAAATTATGTTTTATCCGAGTTCCATTGAAATTATGTTAAAAACTTGTTTTGTCCTATGTTTCAGGTCAGGAAATGGTAAAATATCTTAAGCTTAAAGTTTTTCTAAGCATTTTGACATTTATAAACACAAAGTATTTAAAGTTTAAAATAGAAATAACAAATTTTGCCTCAAAAAAAGGCTTTTTATTTTAAAGCAAATAAAGAAAGCGCACCTTTTAAATACAGTTCAAATTCAGATGATCAATTGTTTATTACCAGTCATCATCATTTAATGAATTTAAAGTTTAAAAGAAAAATCCATTTTTCGTTAAGGAAAACTAAATTTTAAAAAAAATTAGTTGAATCTCTAGAAAATATGACCAAATCAGACCTTTTTTCAGTTTTAAGTCAGTAAATTCAGATTTTTTTGGCTAAAATATAACTTTTTTGGTTTCAACTGATTTGATTTATATAATGCGTTGATTTTTTAACATTTCGAGTTAAAAGGAAGCCAGTACAAAATGATAAAAAATTAATATTTTTAGAATATTAACCAAAGTTTGGCTAGTGCTCAATTTTAATATCAGTAAATCCGGATTTTTTTTCTTCTATTGAATGTCTTCTTTAAAGTTTAGATTGATTTAATTATTTATTGAATGTTTTAAAATTGCAAAACAGTTAAAAACTCCAAAGGAAGTCATAGCAATTCATTTAATTTTCAGAAAATTGGAACAGATTCGAACTGGGATTATTTTTCTGTAATTAAATCTGGATTTTTTTAATAATAAATTACTTCTTTTGATTTTTGATTAATTTAATTATTTATCGAATTTTTCAACGTTCATATCTATAAGAAACAAATCCAAAACAAGACAAAATACTTCATAATATCAATAGAAAATTGAACCAGGTTCAACCTGGGGTCATGTAATAATGTAATATAACAACATTTAATCCAGATTTTGTCTAAACAGGTTTCTCCTTTTCAGTTCAAATTAATTAATTTGTAATAGTTTTGAAAGTTTTAACACTTTATGCTATAACCTGTTTTAATTTAAATCGCAGTCATCTTAAAAAACAAGATATTTGGCTATTTTCTGATATATTTTGGAATCTCTGTCAGGATGTTGATTGTTATCGAATGATTGCAAAGTTTTTCTTTTTTTATATAAGATTCCCCCCTTCTCTTATATCGCTAAATATTGATAATTGCATTGTGCATTGTTAAAAAAATTAAAATTAAAAAAAAAAAAAAGCAAAAGTAAGAAAAAAGGTGTTTAGTGATCTCATCCGTCCCGATTATGAATCACCAAAGCCGTTTTGACGAACATACAAGACAACAAAAAAACAATAACTCAGATATCAGGGTATTAAGCAAAGATGAGCTTTTGAATCTCTACCACGGCAATTGATGCAACAGAAAAAAAAAAAAAACTCAAAATGTAAAACCATAAAATGAAAAGCCGTTGCATTGCACAATACATAAATTGTAAGGCAAGTGATAAAAAATTTATAAACATGGTAGTAATAGCTGTTTTAAATTGAAATAAAACTGCTCACACAAGTCGGCGAAAGCTTGTTTAAATATTTAAAAAGGAAAATATTGCCTTTTGTTATAATATGGGCTTTAATAATGAAAATTCTTCAAATATTTAATACTATACCCTTAACTATTTTAAATTGCTGTGCTTTTATTTATGGATCTTAAATCTTAAAAACTACCCAATGCTATTAGGCCTCCTTCTGTGTATCTTTGTAGCCACAGTAATGGTTTAAAAAAAAAATATTAAAAAAAAAAATAGTGTAACATTGTGTTTTATCCTCTAGGTGTTTTTGCCAAATTTTCAAAAATTTATCGGTGTTTTGTAAATATATTAAATATAAAACTAAAAGCATAAAACATTTCTTGTAGACTGCATGTTATATCCTCTACGTTTCTTCTTCTTCTTCTTCTTTTCAATACTTGACATATCGGTGTTGAAACCCCATTTTGGAAAGATTTTCTTGTTAAATAACAGTTCGAACATATCCGTTGTACAATACATATTTCGATCGTAGATCAGCACGCGTGGGACCACCCGGAACACCCTTGTGATTTCAGTAGTTCAATTTCTTTGGCCTAACGTTTCGTTTCATCACTTTCCTCATTCTTCAATCCTGATTAAAATTTTTAAATTAAAAAAAAAATTGACGGTAAAAAGTACGTCGCTTGTTCAATGTTAGATTATTCAATAGTGATAAATTGTGAAATGTTCTGCCTTTCTTTTTAAACAAAAAAAGTATAAATATTAAACGTTTATTGTTTGTTGTTTTTTTAATTATATATCATTGTAATAATTATTGGATGTTGAATTTTATATTTTATAATGGCGAAGGGGAAATTTTATATGTAATTATATACTAAAGAACTAAAAAATATGTATTTAGTTACTCGAAATGTATTGGAGAGCTGTATGTGAAATTTGTATTCGATGGACATTTTTAAAATAAATGTGAAAAAAGCTTCCCTGTAACATTTTAACGAAAATATATACCTTATCTAAAAAGCGTTATTTAACATTTATTCCTTTCAGAACCCTAACCAAAAAAAAAAAAAAAATTCATAATCTTAAAATATTAACAAACTAGTCTAATATTCAAAAATTTGTATAAGTACACCCAATTCAAAAAGGCAAAAAAGCACTGAATTTGATTCTTCTGGGACTTCGACCAACCTCCTCAGCTATAATAAAAGAAATTGCAATTCGACCTGTCAGATTTGGATATTGTGTACCGGGTAAACATCCAGAAAAAAATCTCATATAAATGCGTTGGTAAGTAAATATAAATGTACGCATCACTTTTAATCCTAGATATTAACATGTAAATTGCATTCGATTAAATTTAATTTTTAATTCTTTTTTTAGACTTTTTGCTGTACGAATTGTACAACTTTTGTTTTGTGATCCTGTAGTAAGCCAAAACTCATGTATAATTTTTTTAGAATTAGAATCTTCAAAATTATGCACACCCGTCTTTTTCAGTCTAAATTACAATTTTATTTCAATACAATTAAAATTTAAATTATTTTAATGTTTCTCAAAAGAGGAGAGTTTTCAATTTTGTGGAGCTTCATCATTAGGGAATAAGATTGAGTTGATGCTGGTGATGGCGAGCTTTTGCATATTTGAATCCATTCTCCTTAATTTGACCGCAACCAAATTTCCGAAGGCGTCGAATTCATCCTGTTCCACGACATGCATCACGATTTCGTTTTTCCTCTTGCCCGGCGCTCTTGTCAGCTTGTCCATCGAGCAATCTCTCATCGCCAAATCCTGTGAATCACCGTGAGAAAGCTAGACAAATACAAACCTTTAAATTAATATTTTAAAAAAAAATAGCACTCGTTTTACCAAGTTTAAAGATCGTTCAGGAGCTGCCAGCAGCCTAACTGTGTCCAATGTTTTCAAAACGAGCCATAGCAATTTCATGTGCAAGTTGCCCCCAATTATAGAAAATGGCATTTTTTTTCTAATAAATAAAAGAGAACAAGTATGTAAAAACTGTTTTTCTATGAGGAAAACATTTTATGTTCAGCTGATTTAATAATATATCCTCATCCGAACAGACTCCTGATATCAAAGCCGAAACTTTTATGAAATTCAGATCGTAACTTATTTAACTATGCCAATTTATGGTCTACCTGCCTTAAATTTATCAATTGTATAATTTTTGTAACTATTTACACTACTTTGATCTATTATGACTAGATAAAAGATAATTCTGAAAGATGAGCGAACAAAGTTTAGTCCTCCATAGAACAGAAACATTAATCAAATGTTGTCTGTAGCCCAATCAATGGACCAAATCAATCCTTTTTAGGTTAAAACCACATGTACAACTTGTAGGTTGAAACCACATTTACCACCTGCTTTTTAGGTTAATACCTTTTTTCTTTTTTTTTTTTGACTGGGCTTCCGACTTAAAACCATATTTACAACCTGCTTGTTAGGTTTGAACCAATGTGCAACCTTTTTTTAGGTTAAAACTACATGGGCAACCTTCTTTTTAGGTTAAAACCACATTTACAACCTGCTTTTTTTTGTTGAAACCACATGCGTGACCTTTTTAGGTTAAAACCATATTTACAACCTGCTTTTTAGGTTCAAACCAATCCACCTTTTTTAGGTTAAAACCACATGGGCAATCTTCTTTTTAGTTTAAATCTAGAAGTAAACCTTCATGATACATTAAAAATTTATGTAAAACTTAGTTAAATGTATTTTCCCTCCACTGACATTATTGTATCTGATGAGTAGATTAGGATTGGCCATTAGATGATTTGTAGAATAATTTGGATCATAAATTAAAAATATTCAACGAGATGATACAAAAATAAACATATATTTTTACACATATGATTAAAAGTTTATTTAGCTTTCGCTTTTCTTTTCTTTACATGTTTCTTAATTTTTGTTTTCCTTTTTTCCGCCTGTTGTTCTTTCACTAGTTTTTTTCTCATCTGAAACAAATTATTTATAAATATAATACATTTCATACCATGATTTAATTTTTTATACCTTTTTACTCTCGGGCGATTCGTCTCTGGGCCGTGAAGAATTGACGAAATTTGATTTTCCTTCTTCTTCAGTCTCATCACTGGAAGAGTCTTCATCCTGAGCTGGTGTAAGGTCTTCACTGAGTCCGACAACCTTTTTGTACGTTATTCTGTCCGGGTCATCCTGTCCTGAACGTATGGCGTTTATGTCCCTTTCAAAATTCAGAACCTCATCGAGCCTCTTGGGCACGAAAGTGTTCTTGAATACCTCGGCGTCAACAATCTCGTTAGAACTCGGCTGGCCCTTATTTCCAGCTTCCTCAGAAATCCTGTCAAGGTACGATTCGATCTTGTCTTCAGACAAGTTGAAGTCTGTTATAAAATCGAACAGTTGCTTCACTGTCATCGTCGCAACATCCTTTTTACGGAAAAATTCTTGGGAAAAAAATGAATTGTTAATAATATTAAATACTATGTTTTAAAGTAAAATTATAAAAATTTACCATTTATATTTGTACAATCTTTCTTTAAAAAGTCAAAAGAGTGAGGGTGGTCATGTTCAACAGACTGTGACACATCTATAACATATGCATGACCTTCATGGTACCTTAAAATAAAGATAAAAATCTCATCTTTCAATAAAATGTTACATTTTTATAAACAAAAAATTTTACAGTAGGTTAAACTCGCTTAGATCGGCATGGACCAACTTGCACTTGTTATACATGATCCACATCATTGTAACTATTTCTCTGTAAAGTTTACAAGCTCGGGAAGTCGTCAGTTCTACGTCCTGAAATATGTTTTACAAAATTTATCATTTTGGTTGAATCAAAGTTGGATGTTTAATTGCCTTCAATTTCGGTGCAGGCCAGCCATCTTCGCCGAGAAATTTCATAAGTAAAACGTGCGACCTGAGGAGGATCGGCTCTGGAACGGAAAGACCAGCGTTCTTCATTCTCACTAAGTTTCTCATTTCCTTCTCGGCCCAAAGACGTACCATCTTTCTCGGATTGTGCCTACAGTATCCATGTCGGAACCTGAAAACAATAAATGACATAAAAATCTCTATTTAAAATAAAAAATAAAAATTGTATTCCCACCTGTATTCCCCAGTCATGTAACGATCACGATCTTTAAACACTAAAATGCTTGTTTTATAGACTTTGATTGCAATATCACAATCGAGACTTTTTGATGTGGCGTGATAAACGTTCGCTTCTTTACCGGTTGAGATGCACCCATTTATCATCCATAAAACACCGCGATTTAGAAGTTTGAAAATAATGATTCTTGTCCTTGGGTCCATGACTTGCTCCGTTGTAGCTCTATCATTTTTATCCTTGTGTCTTATTCTTTAAAAAAGATATATATATTGTCCCCTTCCTTAAACTAACTGAACATTGCATATATAAAATTAAATCAATATTAAAAACCTTTCAGCTTCATTTTTGCGATTTGCTTCTATCAAGTAGTTTGCAGCTTTCATTGGCAGCTCTGGTCCCTCATATTTCTCGACGTTGATTTTATTCACGTACTTTTTCAATAGCTTGTCATTCGGCTGGTACGAGGACACCTTGTCCGATGGCATTTGAGCATTTGGGTGGCCTTTATTCGATCTCACCATCACTGAATTCTTTGTACACTGAAAATCTGCAATGGGCCATTTGTATTTAGTAACAAAGTCATTAAAAATAAAAATTACCTGGCACACTTTTAGAGAAAAATGATACAGACAAAAAAAATTCTTAATAACTTAACAATCGTCCAAAGTCCAAGTATCGTGAGAATAGATGTTTCTTAAGGAAGAAATTACATGTATGATGTATACCACATTTCAACAGAAAGTAAATCCAGAGATTTGTAAGGCCTTGACACTTGCACACAAAGTCGAGTGATTTTGGCATATAAACAATCAAGAGACAAATTCAATGTAGATATATATATAGATAATTAAGCAGTTGATCGAAGGGTGTCATAGCACATACAGGAGCGACGTGAGTTTCTCATAAACCAGGGAAACCTAACGCTGCAATAAGTTGGTAAGATAAATAAGAAAGTTCAAGGGTGTCACAGACCCAAGTGGGAGCCAGTCGTCATAGTTGGACAACCGATAAAATAAATAACATTGAGTTATTTCATGCTGAAGGGTTATCAGACCAAAAATATGTAGTGACATTGTAAATTGGGATCGGATCAACCAGATGTACTACACGACCTTACCGGTCCTCCCACGATGTGGGAACTCATAACTTTTGGTTTTCCTTTCCACCCCTCCTCCAGTAGAGAAAGGTACAAAAAAAAGGATGATTTGGAAATCAAAAATCAGTCTAGACCAAGGGCTCCGGAAGAGAAGTAGCCACACTCTGTCTGGGACTCACCAAGAGGACTCAGCCAGCTATATTGTGGCTCATCCGATCAAGTCGACAGTCAAGATAGGGAGGTCTGAATATGATGAGGACACTGATCATGGCAAACGTTTGGGTTAAGTCCCTTTGTTAATAGACTCTTCCCAGATTAAGAGTAGTGACTAACTTATTCGATTAAGATTTTGTTATGATTGTGTACAACAGGCAGAATTGTGTTGAAATAAATGTTAAAGAATGTACTCTCTGGTTTATTGAATTCTAGAACCTCACCTTCCCCTACATTAAAATAAGTAGCGAAGCACTTACACCAACTACTCTCTTATCGCTTAGAGTAGTAAGTGAATAGTGAGAGATCATTTGTACCATAGCGCAGTCGCTGCTTACAGTGGACTGAGTTCTCTAAACCTATTTTATTTATTTTTCCGCCAGAAAGCAGAAGCAATTCTTCAAAGTCATTCAGGGTCTAATGGGTGAAGGGGAAACCCATTTGCAACCAATTGCATAGTTGAAAGTAAGTTCCAACCAAAACGAGGTCCGTCCATAAAAAGTTCACATTTCCCCGAGCCATTTGTTATTGATCTTTTGTTACTTTTGAAAAAGTGTACAGTTTTTAAATTTAAATACTGTTGCATGTGATTATTTATTAATTTAAGCATTATTTGATCTGACAATCGTTTCTGATATTATAAATGTAAATAATGTCGGGTCTGCCTACCATTTCAGAGATAAAATATTTAAATGCAGTCGGATCTGATAATAAATGTAAACCCTGTTGGATATGATATTATCATTTGTGACAATACATACTTAAATAGTCAGATCCAGTACGAATAGTGTATAATGTACAAATTTTTGTATATAAACTTTTATTAAAGATATTTTTCATTGCATTCTTTTATATCATGTATATGCATTACTATTATGCACGTACAATTAAGCCAACATTTTTACACTTTTTACTTTTTACAAGAGCCATGGCTTATTGATTTTTTGTTGCTTTTGAAAAAGAGTGTGCACTTTTTAAATTTAAATATTGTCATACGTGACAATTAATTTAAGCACTATTTGATCTGACAATCATTTCTGACATTATAAATGTAAATACTGTCAGATCTGACTAAGATTTCTGAGATAACTTATTTAATTACCGTCAGATCAGACAGAATAAATTTATATACTGCCAGAGCTGACAATAAATTAAATACTGTTGAATTACATATTTAAATTTTGTCGGAGATGGCAATAAATCGATATACTGTCAGATCCAGTATAATTAGTGTATACTATACAAGTTTTAGTGTATAAACTTGGGGAAACCTGCTCCAAGGACTTGTCAAAAAAACTGTCAACTTAACACAAATATGTATATTGTCCCTGGAAAGTGAAGAGTAAGACAAAAGATAATTCATTTTGCATCCTGTTTTCCGCCAAAAAGCTGAAGCAATTCTTCAAAGTCACTTGGAAGCTTTGGAAACCCGTGCTGTCTTCCAATTGCAAAGTTGAAAGAAAGTCGCAACCGAAACGAGGTCGGTCCGTAAAAAGTTCACATTTCCATAAACATCTCTTCTTTCGGTTCTTTTCACTGCCTAAGATTATCAACACGCAAACTGTGATCCCAACAAGGTCAACCGTATTTAACGAATTACGAGGAACACATCATTCAAGTGTGTACAGACAACAAAGACTCTACACCGTCTATATACATCATCTGTCTACATGTCTCTAGACAATTGATCGACTTTGTATGCAACACCTAAGACAAACTAATTACAAACTAGCAATCAAAAAGCCTGGAACACGCAGTAGGTGGTCTATGAAAATATGAACACGTAATATCATTACGGACTGGAAACGTGTAAGACAAAGCACATAGAATGTCAATAATAAGCCTAACAAGGCTACGTAAAAGTTTTTGACTTTATAAGATGTAATAATTATCATGTAAACAATGTTTACTGTTTTGGAATTGTTTAAAATATGTATTGCTCCAGAGAACTAAGAAGATTCCTTCCTTCTTATTAATTATATCACCTTCGTAATATTCTTCATCCTCCGAGTAATCTTCATCTTCATCTTCGGAAAGTCCGCTGTCTGAGAGGGCCAATTCTTCGATTTGGTGGCAGAGGTCGAAAGAGACATGCTTCCTCGGTGGAACCCTTCTGGAAAACAGGATTTAAAATGTAATTTTAAAAGTTTTTACAGCATTTTCCTTCGTCTTACTCTTCACTTTCCGCGTCGTCGAACTGTCCAGGGACAATATCCATATTTGTGTTAACTGGACAGTATTTTTTGACAGGTCCTCGGAGCACGTGGTCTCGTTTTCCCAATGGCCAGGTTAAGACTTAAGCCTCTTGAATCTCTAAACTATTTCAAATTCCTCAATTTTACATTTCAAAATAAGTCGATAATTTAATTTCTGGCTATAATCAATCTTAAAGTTAGACAAATTAAAGTTATAATGACCATTTTCTGTCTGAACTAGACTGCGACACTCTGTATACTTCTTCCAATGCCGCCCAATTTTGAATCTTGGCTTAAGTTTAATACAACCCATTTTTCAATTATCTTAACAACAAATTAAATATAAATTAACAAAAACAACATTTATTTTTAAAAGCAACAAAAGATCAATAACAAGTGGCTTGGGTGAAAAAGTGTACAAACACAAATGTTTGGTTAATCGAACACATAATCTTAATAGATATGCAAATAATACATACACAATAAACAAGAACACAATGAAAATTAGGTGGGTAGAAAGAAGTTTACAAGTTTATCAAAAAACTTGTACATTACACACATAATTGTGCCAGATCCGAGAGAATATAAATGTATTGCCAGATCTGACAGCATTTAAGTAAATATCAGAAATGATAATCAAAACAACAGGGTTTATGTTTATTATCAGATCCGACTGTACTTAAATATGTTATTTCAGAAATGGTAGGCAGATCCGACAATACATAAATTTATTGCCAGATCTGACAGTATTTAAGAATATATCAGAAATGATAATTAAAACAACAGGTTTTACGTTTATTATCAGATCCAACTGTACTTAAATATGTTATCTCAGAAATGGTAGGCAGATCCGACAGTATTTATATTTATAATGTCACAAACGATTGTCAGATCAAACGGAGCTAAATTAACTGTCATATGTGACACACTAATTACACCAGATCTGACAATGCATCGATTTATTGCCAGATCTGACAAATTTATCTATTTAAATATGTAATGTCAGAAATGATGGTCAAATCTAATGGTATTTACATTTATTGCCAGATCCGACTGTATTTAAATATGTTATCTCAGAAATGGTAAGTAGATCTGACAATATTTAAATTTAATTACATTAAACACATTACATACATTTTAATGTCAGAAATGATTGTCAGATAAAACAGTGCTTAAATATAATGTGTCATATGTGACACACTAATTATACCAGATCTGACAATGCATCGATTTATTGCTAGATCTAACATTATTTAAATATGTAATGTCAGAAATGATGGTCAAATCTAATGGTATTTACATTTATTGCCAGATCTGTCTGTACTCAAATATTTTATCTCAGAAATGGTAGGCAATCCAAAAGTGTTTACATTTATAATATCAGAAACAATTGTTAGATCAAATAGTGCCTAAATTAATCATTACATACAACAATATTTAAATTTAAAAACTGCACACTCTTTTTCAAAAGCAACAAAAAATCAATAACAAATGGTTCTGGTAACGAGGAAACATGAACTTTTTATGGACGGACCTTGTTTCGGTTGCAACTTACTTTCAATTTTGGGATTGGAAGACAGCATGGATTTCTGAAACTTTATCATTCGATACCAAATGACTGAAGAATTGCTTCAGCTTTCTGGTGGAAAAATAAATAAAATGGATTTAGAGAAATCATTCCAGTGTAAGCATGCGCTTGGTTCGAACAATCTTTCAATATTCGCTTACTTTTCTCTAAGCGATAAGATAGAAATTGGCGTAAGTGCTTCGCTACTTATTCTTGTGTGGGCAAGGTGAAGTTCTGTAATTCAATAAACCAGAGAGTATATTCTTAAATATTTATTTCAACACAGTTCCATCTGTTGTACGCAACCACAACAAGATAGTCAAATCCAACATTATTTACACTTATTGTCAGCATTGGCAGGACGTAAATTTATTCTGTCTGATCTGACAGTAATTAAATATGTTATCTTAGAAATGTTAATAAGATCCAGCAGTATTTACATTTATTATATCACAAATGATTGTCAGATCAAATAGTGCTTAAATCAATTGTCACATATGACAGTATTTAAATTTAAAAACTACACACTCTTTTCCAAAAGCAACAAAAAAATCAATAACAAATGGCGCAAGTAAAAAGTGTAACAGCGCAAATGTTAGGTTAATTGTACAAAATAGTAAGAGATATACATGTACAATATAAAAGAAAACAATGAAAAATATCTTTAAAAAAAGTGTTTTCACAAAATCTTTTCATTATACACTAATTGTACCAGGTCTGACAGTATATCAATTTATTGCCAGATCCAACTATTGTATTTCAATTTATTATCAGATCTGATAGTGTTGATTTATTATTTATGTACTGGAAGCTTTTTGGTGATGGCAAACCAATCCATCAGTGAACATGAAGCTGTTTAACTGTTTAACACCCCTGGGCTGTCAGATGATCTTTCCTGTTCTTTCCCTTCTTTTTTTTTCTTCTTCTTCTTATTTTTGTAAGACTAACAATTTATATCAATCCTTCAAACTTTGAACATTTTTTTTAACAATTTGGATAAATACAGGCTGTTTTATTTTTTAAATTATTTTTTGTTTTATTAAGGCAAAAACAACTTTGGCAAAGTTTTTTCTTGATCAGTAATCAATGTACTTTTTCTTCAGGTTTTATTAATTAGTTGTTAATGCTATTGCTAAAAATTGGTGTCAAATTAGTTGTTAATGGTTAAATTCATTAGAATGAATAAAAAAGGCTTTTTTTTGTAAAAAATAAATTAATTTATTGTTGTCATACATAGTAATTTTTTTTTAAATATATAAGAAAAAATTATAGTTTGTCCTGAGAGAATCAAATTTTCTAAAAAAAGTTATATACCTATAAAACAAAATTTATAAGTATGCAAGCTTATTGGCGAAAATTGCTCCAGACATTCACACACACAAAGAAAAAAAACTGCTAATCCTTTCTATTGTAAAAAAACCAAATTATTTATATCACAAAATAATACAAAGAAAGGGTACAACAGTCGATTTTGGAAAGCCAAGAACAAAATAGTGAAAACAAACGCTACTCAAGCTCCCCAAGATAGAGTGTGTCTTCGAAAAATACAGAAAACTACGAGAAACCATACAAATGCAGAAGCAAGAGGCGTTGCAAGTGGACATATTTCTGTACAAAGCGTCGGGAAAGCCAAAGTCGAAGCACAATGTGAAATTTTCCGGCCCAGAAGTCCAAATGATAGTTGAAGGAGGGGGAAAAATCCTGGTCAATGTTTTCTCTTTGTGACAATTTTTAAACACAGACCAATTCAGGTACAATTTTCTTTCCTTGTCAAAAATTCTAAGTACTATTGAATTTAGTTGAATCTCTGTCAGTATGCCCAATTTGATCCATTACTCTGCCTTAAAACATTTTTATATGGCCTAGTGCATCTCACTTTATGCAATTTAAAAAAAGAAATTTTATAAATTCAACAACTAGAATTGGTCTATTTGTCGAATGAGATTGATGGCAGGCTTTGAATCTTTTTGGAAGCCTAAATTTAGATTGTATCTATGATCTTCTGAGCCGGTATTTATGTCCAGGCTGAACTATACCTTTTTTTCTTGTGCTCTTTACAACTTCTGTCGTGTTCGGTGGTGTCGTACTCGTTGACATATCAATCTTTTGATCTGTTTCATAAAAAAAAGAAAAAATAACGAATGTTTTAAAACAAAGAGAAAGTTGAAAATATAAAATTATGGCTGTTATACTGTTCTAGAAAGGGTTTTTGATTGGCTAGGTCAAAAGGTTTCAAAAAAGCTATCTTCCGTATGATATGCTATAACCTAGGTTGAGCATGAGTGTGTCCCTCAGAGCTGGTTGAAGTTGGTGTTCGAGGTAGCGGGTCAATAGTGATCTGACTCCTCTTATGAAAACCTCTTCCATCTCGACAGTCATATCTAGATCGCCTTCTCTTGCTTCAGGTCCATTGGATCTCCTTGACGCATCTTCATCTTCGATGCTAAATAAATAAAAACCATAAAACATTTAGTGGTACGGATATCAGCTGATATGGTCTTACCCTCTGCAGCCATAGGAGTGTACGCTGATGAACTGAGGCTCTACGAAGGTCGCGGCTGTGTCTACACCCAAACCCCTGCCTCTACTTGGTTGTACTGTGAAACCCAGACCTGCCCGTCTCATCCTGAGCGTCATGTTGCACTTTTCAGCAGGTGGTGCATCAAGCTTTTCATTGTAAAGTTTGACCTTACCAGTCACAGCCAGCTCCCTGAAAACCAGCCTTGTCTGCAGCGTCCCCTGGCCAGGATCATACCTGAAATGCATTAATTTATAAAAACCCTTTAATCTAGAAATGACCAAACATACCGGCACTTTTCAATTTTGGCCCATTTCCCAGGCGCTCTGATTCTCATGTCTGTCAGGTACATGTCGTAGGGTGCAGACCTAAGTGGTTGGTGGAGTGCATAGCCGGTCAAGTCTAGTGACTGGCCTCCGGTCCGTTTGGTCGATATCGAGCTTAAGACTTTGTTGAGCCGACCGGAACATTTCTCATTCCTCTCATCTACCGGAAAAACTGAAACTGAAACTCATACGTGAGTCTTCGGCTATCTGGCTTACTTTCCTGCCATACCTGTATCATTTCCTTTGTTTGCTATTGAAAAGGCCGTCTGGACGAGCAGCAAGAGCAGAGCTCCCCTGAGCAGCGTCATATCCGACAGTATCTAAAAATAAAAATTTGGAAAACTACAATTATGTTAAAACTTCTATTGTCTTTTTTTTACTGGTCATTCTTTCTTTAATTTGATTATGAGTATTCTGTTTTTGCTAATAGCTTTAATTTATTTTCACTTACAGTATTTCTAACTTCTTGTACCCACTTCAGGTTGATTAAAATTCAACTTATCTTTTTCTTCAGGTCTTCTACTACTTTTTCTACTCGATTTTTCTTTACTAATTGCTCTTGTTACATTGTCACATGGCTTTGTTACAAGTATTTTCCTTTGTGTTCATTTATGTACACTTACATTTAAAATTTTTCTTGTGTGTTTTATCTTATGAACTTCTATCTTATTTTCTACTTCACCATTTCATTTCAGTTTTATGTGTTGCATTGTTTACCTAATGATACTGATTTGTTAAATTTTATTTAATTTTATTTTTGTCTTCTATGTTTTTTTTCTTTCTGATCTTTCTGTACTAATTGGCTTTGTTATGTGTATTGGTCTGTTTTTGTCAAGTAAGCTTTTTCATAGGTTTTTTTTGTGTTATATATTCTAATTCACTGTTTGTTTTATCTTATCTGTTATACTATTCACTTAAGCTACTGGTTTGTTAAAACTTCACTTTTTCTTTACGTCTTATGTTTTTCTTCTTGATCTTACTGTACTACTTGGCCTCATTTTTTGTAGTGTTCTGTTTTTCCTTCACTTTCTATGTTATTTATAATATTATTCTTCTTCTGACTTTTGTTCTATGTTATTGTTTCCTATTTAACTGTTTTTTTTCTTTATCCTCTGTTCTATGCGTTTTGTGATGAATAAAACTCCCATTATCTTTTCCTTTAAGGCTTTTACTACTTTTTTCTGCTCTATCTCATATTTTATTTTCTAATTCACTATTTATTTTGTTTTATTTGCTATAATGCTCACTTCACTTAAGCTCCTCATTTTTTATTTTTAACGTCTTTTACTATTTTATTCTACTCGACCTTTCTTTACTTTTTAGCCCTGTTTTGTGTATTGTTATTTTTTGTTTTAGAAGTTATGCTTTTTCTTCTCTTTCATTTGTCTATCATTCTATTTAACTATTTTATTCTGTTTTTTGTATGTTTTCGTTTAGTTTTTGATCAGCTGTTCTTTTCCTATGATTTCATTTACCTATCTTTCTATTTAACGTTTTTCTAATGTAGTTTAAAAAATATATATATTTTATGCTGTCTCCTACTTCATTTTTTTCTGTTGTCTTATCTGATATCTTGCTCGCTTTAGCCACTGGTTTGTTAAAACTTTCTTTTTCTTTATCTATTTTATTACTTTTTTGTTCTCGATCTTTCTTTAAAACTTGGTTTTCTTTCTTGTAGTTTGCTTTTTTGTATATATGTTTTTGTCAAGGCTATCTTTTACTCTCGAATGAATTTTCAACTGATCTTTGGTTTTAAGTTGTGTGCATCATTTTCAATAATAAAGGTCAGAATCTTTCCCTTTTCGTCTCATCTTTCGTCTTTTGTCTCTTGAACGCCCCATTAAACGTCCGTCGGGTTTCGCTTGTTTTCCACTTTCTTACGACAAACTAACGTTAGAGATCAAACAAAAGAATAGTTTTTCCAGGCTGTATCGAACAGCTTCATCGTCCTGAAAGCGTGAGAACATTTACAAACCAAAAAACAAAGAATCCCTACGTAATTCTTGTTAGGTAAACGATTTGCATAATCCAATTAGGTCCCGGTGCCAAAAATCTGTGCACGCCAAATCGTCGTGAAAACCCCAATCAACCCAATTGGAAAAGTCTCAACTCTTAGAACATTTATAACAAGCCTTTTTCTCTTTTCAAACTTTTCTTCACCGCCTAATCTACTCCTTTTATCTCTCATTACAAAGGTGAGAGAGAGAGAAAAAAGTGAAAAGGAAAACATTTCATGCTTTCAACGCGAAAAAATTGGCCAAAGGATTCCATTGATAGCGAATTAGAACGTTAAGACATAAAGAAAGGGAAAGAGAGAAAGAAAAACGAGAGTGAGAATGCAATTCGATTAAATTAAAAATTAAAAGCGACGAACGTTTTCACTTAATTAACGACGAGAAGGCGAAACAGAGCGGATCGAGTTTTCGGAGGAAATCGCCCAATTGCGACATATTCACACTTAAACTTAAAATCTTTCTTCTGCCCTAATATATTTCGTTATTAAAATTTTTCGAAAATAAAAATTAAAAGGGCATCTCTGAACTTGAAAATTAAATGAAGTATCCATTGGACTTGCTTCCCTGCTTCTTGTTCGTTATTGTTTACGTTTGTCTTTTACACCTTTTTTCTACCTAATATTTTTTTACTACTTGGCTCTGTTACGTGTACTTTATTTTCGTCAAGAGTTGTGCTTTTCATTTGCTTTCATTTATCTCTCTTTGTAGTAAAAGTTTTCTCATTTGTTGCATGTTTTTCGTGTTTCCTTATTCACTATTTTTGTTCCCTTATCTATATACTGCTTGCTTAAGCTACACTTTTGTTAAAACATTACTTTTTTCCTTATTTTACTACTTTTTTCTTCCCGAACTTTCTTTACTACTTGGCTCTGTTACGTATATTGCTTTATTTTCGTCAAGAGTTGTTTTTCCTTTGCTTTTCATTTACCTCTCTTTATAGTAAAAATTTTCTCATTTGTCGTTTGTTTTTCCTGTTTCTTAAATTACTATTTTTGTCTACCATACTACTTGCTTAAGCTACAGCTTTGTTAAAACTTTACTTTTTTCTTTATCTATTTTACTACTTTTTCTTCTCTATCTTTCTTTAATACTTGGCCCGGTTACGTGTATATATTGTATTATTGACAAGAGTAGTGCTTTTCCTTCGTTTTTATCTGCCTTTATTTACATTTCAAGTTTTTATTCTGTTTGTTGCATGTTTTTTCTTTTTTCCCTATTTCACTGTTTTATTATTTATCCTCTATGTGTTGATTACAATTGTAACTCACACTTAACCTGTGCTTTTCCTTTGGTTTTATCTGCCTATCTTTGTATTTAAAGTTTTATTCTTTTTGTTTCCTATTTCACTGTTTTATTCTTTATCATGTGTACTGGGCACTATGGGTGGTCTATTATTATTTGCCTTCATATTTAACGTTTTTACTCTAGTTTGTTATTCTTCATGTATCCTAATCGATCTTTTTGCCCTTGCTTTTTCTTATTTGCTATTCCGTTCATCTAATAGTATAGGTTGATTAAACATTACTTTTATTTTCTTTACGCCTTCTATTAATTTTTTATTCTTGATTTTTGTGTATTATTCTGTTTTTGCTGAGTTATTTTTCCTTAGCATTCATTTATCTTTCTTATTATGTTTCCTTGTATGTTTTACTTCTTCATGTCCCTTAATCTAGCTTTGTGTGGCTTTTTAAATTTTGTTGTTTCATTTCTTTCTGTGTACGCCCTCTTCTAAGAAAGAAACACCTTTCTTCTCAGAAGAAATTTTCTTCTTGTTGATATCTATTTCGTCAATTTTTATTTAGTTTAGTTTGTTCTTATTTTTTTCGCGTTGTACTGTTCATTTTTACTTATTGTTTCCTAGTTCATCTTTTGGTTGTCTCGATTTTTTTTGTACTACTTGGCCCTTGTATTTTTCTGTTTTTGTGTGAAGTTATCTTTTTTCTTCGCTTCTATTTGCCTATCTTTGTATTTAAAGTTTTTGGTTAAAACAAAAGAAGAGAAAAGCATACGACAAAACACACGTGGAAAACGCTAAATATAAGAGCAGGTAAGTAAATGAGTTATAGCAAAACTCCTAACAAAAACAAAATACACATGACAAAACAAAATAGTAAAGAAAGACCGAATATAAAAAGACTATAAGACGTACAGAAAAAGGAGAAAAGATAATTTTGCCAAGATATATCAATAAATTTAAAAGTAATAGACGAAATAAAGAAAAAATAAATTTTAATCAACTTGAAGTAGAATAACATAAAATGAAAAGATCATCAAATAAAAAAAGAAGTCAGGAAGAATAAAAACATATTACAAAACACAGAAGAAAAGCGTTAAATTTAGGCAGATGAAAACAAAGGAAAGCCTCCTTGCAATTAATAGAACAATACATGTGACAAAACCAAGTAGTAAAGCAAACCTAATTGAAAAAAAAGTATAGAAGGCAAAACGAAAAAGAACAATGTTGTTTTAATCAACCTGAAGTGCTCAGCATACATAGAAAATACACAGAAAAATCAAGAACAACAACAAAATTATCAAGATCAAATCGTAAACAAGACCAAACAAAACGACAACGCAAGGAGGAAACAAAAATATATGTATTTTAGGAGAAACAGTAGAAAAGACAACAGAATTGTACAATTAGAAAAGAAGAAGATCAAAATTTCTTGGTAGAAAAAGCGGTTTTCTTTTGTAATGCCAAAGAAGGCATACTCAGAAAGAGTTTCAAATAGGGAAAACAAAAGAATTAACAACTAATGATCAAGACCACATCGTAAAAAATTCAAACATAAAAAGACAACGTAAGATGGAAACAAAAATATAGATATTTTAGCAGAAATAGTAGAAAAGTCAACAGAATCGTACAATTAGAAAACAAGAATAAGAAAATTTCTTGATAGAAAAAGCAGTTTTCTTTTATATTGCCAAAGAAGGCGTACACAGAAAGTGTTTCAAATAAGGAAAACAAGAATTAACAACTAAATCGTCAAGAAGACATCAAAAAAGTTAAAACATAAAACGTCAACGTAAAATTGAAACAAAAATATAGATATTTTAGCAGAAATAGTAGAAAAGTCAACAGAATCGTACAATTAGAAAACAAGAATAAGAAAATTTCTTGATAGAAAAAACAGTTTTCTTTTATAATACCAAAGAAGGCGTACACAGAAAGAGTTCCAAATAAGGAAAACACAAGAATTAACAACTAATCATCAAGACCACATCGTAAAAAAATTCCAACATAAAAACACAACATAAGATGGAAACAAAAATACATATATATTAGCAAAAATAGTTTGACGTTATCTATGATGATAATTTTAAAAACAAAACAAGGGTGACTTGTCGCACCACCTTGACTGAAAGATCTTAAGACAACTGTTGAATTCGGCATTGATTTTAAATGAAAGTTAGTTGAATGTAGGTAAGTCCTTTTTTAAATATTTCTTAATTTTGTCATAAAGCCCAAAAAGATTGTGAAAGAAAATGAAACTTTCTGGACTTTTTACTTACGTTTTCACCTCGGTCCTCTCGTTTCTGACTCCTTGGAAATACTGTGTCAGGAGGCTCTTGTAGGAGGGCTGGAAACTGGAAAGCAGTCACGGTCCGACGGTCACGGGCCATCCTCCGCTTTCACGGTGTTGCGGGGCACGAAACGCCGCGGTACAACGGCCCCGCGCATACGGGGGGGGGGGGCAGGAGGCGCAATTTCACGGAAAATTCTTTTCCAGGGTATCTTTACCCTACCCACATTGGACATGTGGTCATGGCAAAAAATAATCGCCCAAGTCAAAGAACGTCTCACAAAAGAACGAGATATCATGTAAAAAATGAGTCACATTCTTAATTTTTATCATTCATTTGAAAGAAGAAGACAGTAAATCAAATGAGAATTTTAAATTATGCAAAACTACTCTAAAAAAATATAAAACATCAAACCAGGAGATTTTTTTTTAATGAAACATTTCGTTTTGTCCTTAGAGTTTAATTTTACCAATGGTATCTAAAGATTAATATAATTCATCATAAATATCAGTCCACCTTTCTGCTGAAATGAACAAGAAATAAGCAACTAGCATGTCATATTTAAACTAAATTTTTACTTGTTATTGTTGGTTGTGGCAAAATTTGAACTGCTATAAAGCCAAATTCAAAAAGGCACAAAGGATTGCTTAAGACTTACATAAAGTTTATATTGCAGAAGGTGTAAAAGGGCGAATTTCTGCTAGACAAACCTCTTTATTTGCCTTTTATTTCCACAAAATTTTGTTGTTCAGGGTATCCAACCACCAATAAAAGCTGGCATCCCACGAGGGTACATCCAGTCCACCATTTACACAATGTATCATCATTACCACTAACACTACAATCCTTTTATAACTTGTATCCTATCCACTTTTAAGGCCAAAATCTGTTATAATTGTTGAATTAATTAATCGTTATAATCGTTTAGCCCAATTGTTTTCAATTATGATTATTTTATACAATTTATTTTTATTCCTGTCACTGTAATAAATTAATAATAAACAGACAGGAGAATGGAAAGGTTCAGGAATCTTCTATTTCAAAAGATTTTTTTTTTTAAATAACAACATTTGATTAATATAAGTTTGATTATTTATACAATTTCTTTTTATTCCTATCACTGTAATAATTTAATAATAAACACAGGAGAAAGGAAAGGTTCAGGATTCTTCTATTCCAAAAGATATTTTTTTTAAATAACAACATTTGATTAATATAAGTTTTATTATACAAAATAAACATGGTGGAAGTGACTACATAGCTTGTGTTCCGTTTCTGGACAAAATATACATCTTTTTCATCGACTACGGCAAGATCCAATCAAACCGAAATCCACAATCGAAAAACCCCCGCAATGTACAAAATAAATAAATTAAAAAAAAAAAAAAAAAACGGGGCTCGCACAGTCAAGTAGAATATTAGTCTAGAAAATGCTTTCTCGCAATGTTTATGTATATATACAGCCTTGTCCATGTACAGCGTACAAGTCTAAATAAATGATAATAATATTGCACTAGAATTAAAACAATTAACAAATATGTTTTAAATTTTTTTTGTTATTTTTAAAATATTATTTTGAATGTTATATACAAAAAGAAGAAGTATTTCTTATTCTTATATTTATTATAAACAAAAATACGTTTTATTATTAAATTGTGATTTATATTTGGTTTAACACTTAACACTTACACGTGGTTTTTCTTTTTTTATATTAACTTTGGTATATTTATTAAGGAAGATAGATTAAACAACCACCTTTTCTCTAGGAAAGATTTTTAAAACATAATTTGTAGCCTATTTCAAATTAATGGGAGTTTTTTCCCTTTTGACCGAAAATTTAACTCAAAAATGACTCACTACTTTTGTCTTGGGATCACAAACCATCGTCCCTTTAAGTACTTTTCTTGTCGGCCAGATAAGCCGAGGATCTAAGAGCGAATCGTGAAAAGAAGAGTGTCTTCTTTTTTTAGCAATCTGCTCGAATTCGCTGGGACAAACATTATTTTACACCTACATTTTTTTGATCTAAAATATTGCACTCAGTTCTGTCTTTGTTCTTTACCGCTTTAACGGCTCGCGGACAATTTTTTAAAAATCTTTTTACGCCTGATACTCCATTTTTTTATCTGAGAATTTATAGAGAGAAAAACTAAAAGGCATAAGAGATTAAAAAAACTTACAGTAATCCTTTAACATTTGCTCTAACTCTTCAAACAAAATATTGAGACAAGACCAAAAAATGCTGAATGGACCAGCCTAGAATCTTATTTAACCGCTGCTTCAGGGTCTTTAGAGTCCAACTCCAACTCTGATATCAAGCCAATAAAAGCTGGTATCCCTTAAGGGTACATTCTGAGTCCTATCCCGTCCGTCACACAAGATACCATCATTACCACTGACACTACAATCCTTTTATAACTTGTATCCTATCCACTTTTAAGGCCAAAATCTGTTATAATTGTTGAAACAAGACGTCTTTACATATAATACCAATGCATCCAATTGTCAACCCACACCATCTCAATGTTACTTTTGTCAACAAGCTGTTCTTTTCCCATGTCCAAAAGTTCCATATCAACTTTTCATTCTGTCTTAACCATACTGCCAATGCTTTCTCTGCACTTTCTTATCCTGAGAACATTCTAAGTCGGTTTAAAAGACAATGGCCTCGTATTGAGTGCCAGCATCGGCTGATTTCTCTTAACCCCTATCATCCATATGAAGTGGTATAATTTCTGTGTTGTTACTGGGGGAAAAATCAAATACGCTGAAGATACAGAAGAAATTAACCTAACCTCTAACATTAAAGGACTACTGTACTTGTAGAAAATATAACGATAAAATAAATTTCTAATCAATAAACAATTTCTTTTATATTGTATAAAGTATAAAAACTGTCGAAGGAACACATCACAGCAATATCAGGCGACTCGTAAACCTATGATCAATATTGACTCTTTTACTCAAACGTTCAAACGTGTAACATTTTCAAATTAGCAAAGGCTACAATATTTAATGGTTTTTTTCAATTTTTGGTCACAACCGTGTTTTTTAAATTTTTTTTTACATATTTTGTCTTTTTTATTATATATAATAATTATCATATGAATAGCAAGGTATTAAAGTTAAATTATATTTAATTTTCTTTTTTTTAATATTGTAGACTAGAATAGAAAAAGAATTGTTCGCCACAATGTCAAAAAAATGTATTTACAATATAAAATTCCATCGTTTTATGGTCATACGGTATTTATGGTAAAAATCAACTGATAAATCAAACCTAAGTTTTGAATGAGTGAAATAATCAACAAATCAATTTGGGTTTTCTTGTCGCTTTCTTTCTTTTTTTTCTTTCTTTATTTTATCTTAAAACTTAACGGTGGGTTAGCTAGTTGCATCACATCAAGCATTTATATACAGATAAATAAGGAAAAAGCTTCATCGTTAAGACTGAAAATATACAAGCTTATGCTTTAGAAAAAATAAATAAAAAATAAAAGCACATGAAGTATGATCCTAAGCATCGCCTAATTTCTTTCCCTCTTATTTGTTTTATCTACTTTTTTGACATTGTGATAAACAATTTAGCTTAGAACGATGTGTATTTATTGTGATCGTGTCAATAAGTATAAAGCTGCAGATGCTAATGTTTTTTTATCAAAACTTCTTCAAATTTCTCATGGGAGGAAATAAGTATCGCCTACTCTAAATTAAAAATAAGCTCCAGAATAAAAATGTCATCCTTGTGTGCTTTAAAAAACAAAAAATTGACGTTGATCACAATAATTTTTTTGTTTTGACTGGTTATGAAAAACACAGGTGTACCTTGTAAAAATTTTCACTGGACAGAAAATTTGTTCTTTTTACCCTGCCCTACTGGTATTCGTCGTCGGAGCTGAGGAGCATCGTTTTCTCGTTGTAACCGTGGCTGATTGTTGCCACTTTCTGACCTCCGGGGTTTTTTCGCTGGATCTGGCAGCCGGGCGGTGGGGCTTCTTCGGGGTCGTATGTGCTTACTCGTATACCACGTTGAGAGTGGGAACCTGAAATTGTTTTGTTTTAAATTTGAAAGTATTAACGGTTTGAACAAATCCTCTACAGACATTCCTGGGGAACAGTAATTCAAACTAAAAACAAATTTTCCGACTTGCAAACAAAAACACATTCATGCTAATAAATACATTCACTGTACTATTAATATTCATCATTTAAAAATACAAAAACAAAAAATACAAAATTTTCAATATGCTCAGTATAGAAAGATCCTGACAATTTTCACTTATTTATTTTATTTTTGTAACTCATTAACATTATAGTGGTTTGTTTATCCTCGTTGGTTTGGACTGTCAAATGTATTTTGGCTTCTCACCATCTTTAGTGATGGCCAGCGGGGATAGGCAGACCAAAATGATCAAATATGATCTCAATTACAGACTCATCACTTCATTCTGCGCTAAACACAAAAATCTCAATTTATTTTTATTTTTTTCATTGGTTTGATGAGAAAACACATCATCAGTAGTATCAAAATTGGAGTAAAAAATCATCTTTCAACTTGTTACATTTTTCATCCAATTTAACTATCACTTGAAGAAACTAAACATTCTCAATCTTATTTGACTCTATTGGAAGAAATAAATCGTTTTATTATTTATCATCTTTTATCTATAGTGGGGATAAACTAAACCATCATTTTATTAATCATCATTTTATTTAACTATAGTACAGAGAAACTGAATCATCATTTGATAATTCATCATCTTATTTGACTGTAGTAGGGAGAAACTGAATCATCATTTTATTATTCATCATCTTATTTAACTATAGAAGGGAGAAACTGAATCGTCATTTGATTATTCATCATCTTATTTTACTATAGCAGGGAGAAACTGAATCATCATTTTATTATTCATCATCTTATTTAACTATAGAAGGGAGAAATTGAATCATCATTTGATTATCCATAATCTTATTTAACTATAGCAGGGAGAAACTGAATCATCATTTGATTATTCATCATCTTATTTAACTATAGCAGGGAGAAACTGAATCATTTTATTTAAATATAAAGGGCGAAATTGAATCATCCTTTGGACTTACATTGCCTTACGTATGAAGAAAATAAATAATTCGCCTTTACATTGCCTTGTGTAACTGTATGTTTAGAACTAAATCATCATTAGATTATTCATAATTTTATTTAAGTCTCATGGAGAAAATAAATAATCTGTTGGTTCTACATCATCATATTTAACTATGCCAAGGAAAAGCCTAATCATCATTTGAATATTCATAATTTTTTTGCATTACCAATTGGAAAACCTAAATAATTCAACAATTCCATCATTGTGTTTAGTCAACTTTTGAGTCATCATCTCACTAAATCATCATATTAGTTTTTAATCATGAGCATTTATATAGGAGATTTGCTAACGCGGATTTTATGACCGTAAAATCAGATAAGGCTGGATCTCTGGATTCAAATGAATCACAACTGTTATGCCCCGTAGTGCGAAGAACAGAATCCATGCAATAAGATGAAAACGGGCAAGCATTTCATGGTTTTTAAGTCCATATTTTTCTTGGTTCTTTCATTCAACTATGCTTAACTCAGCAATACAAAAGCCTTTAAGCGTTTAGGATGGATGCACAATGAATTATGCTTTAAATACAGCAAGATTAAAAAAATAAATCAATAATAAAAATCAAATAGAACAAACTTATCGATTTGTTTTCATTAATCATACAAAACTTTAAAAAACAAAACAAAGGACAACAAATCAAAAATGACAATCTTTTCAATATTTTTATATATCCACAACTACAATGATTGTTTCTTCAAAATAAAAATTCTAATGATACAATACATTTGATTAATTTAATTACATTTAAATTACAACAATAATAAAAATAAAATAAAAAAATAGAATCGGTTTGAACGATTCTTATTACAGTTAATGTTTGATCGATATGTCTAGAGATACAATTTAAAAATAATAATAATAAAATTAAAGAGAAAAATAATTTGAGTAGGAATGTTCTTAGTATATTGTTTTCTCTTTACTAAACTACCTCTTTCATATTTACATATAGAACATAATCGGAAAAGTGGTTGCTTTTAACATGAATATGTTTTTGGAATGAAAACAAATTGTTTTGCCATCAATTTCGACTTAAAAGGGAGTGCACATGGATTAGATTAGGTTAGGTTAGGTAAGGAATAGTTTGGGTTAGGGTTAAAGACTGGTTAGGTAAGGAACAGTTTGAGTTAGAGTAAAAAGACCAGTTAGGTTAAGAATAATTTGGGTTAGGATTAAAGAAGGTTAAGTTATGAATAGTTCGGGTTAGGGTTAAAGACCAGTTATGTAAGGAATAGTTCGAGTTAGGGTTAAAAACTAGTTAGGTTAGGAATGGTTTGAGTTAGGTTTGAGTCGGTTAAGCTAGGTAGGGTAGGAGACAAGTAAGGTCACATATTCATGATTCAAATATGCGAGTGTTTTTCTATATACTTCTAAACGTGACAAAATAATAATATATGTGATTTTATAAAATCTAATATTCGTGTGGTAATTGTTCCTTTTATATTATATAATAGTTGCAATCTAAGGAATAAAAACAACCCTAAATACCGTAAAATACATGTATACTGTTAATTTTTTTAAATTAAGTTCTTGTGTATAAGTAGTCTAAATAATGGTATAAGCATCTTAATAGACCTGAATTGTGTTCGATATATAAAACAATAAGATTTAAATAAAAAGTAAAAACACAATAATACAAAAAAATGGGAAATAATAATTACAAATAAGAATAAATCGATATTTTTAAAGCACACACTTTTATCACAATAATGAAAACATATGAAAAAATTAAATTATAATAATGGGATGAGGGGAAAAATTAACGAACATCATGAGAAATAATACAAACTCTCATGCTTTAAAAAAAATAATCATGATACCATGCATCATCCAAAAATCATATTATTAAAAGAAAAATATGCAATGCGAGTTGCTTTAAGAGAGCGCTGGGTATTAGAACGAGTGGTTTTTTGTTGCATTTTTTATTTTGCCAGTCAGAGCTTCTCATATGGGTTCTGTTTCGACGCTGGAGGTACAACTTCTGCAACAGACAAAAAGACGAACGGTGCCTTCCCGATAAAGGGGACGGCGTCCGTATCGTTTTTGGTATGACTTTAGACTATGACCTGTCAGAACTTGAGTGCTTTAAGTGCTTCAACAAGACACCTTTGACTCCTTTTCAAATATGGAAATTTTTTAACTAAGCAAAACGGCAAAAGCAAGGTGGTGAGAAGAAAACTACAATGAATTGTATAAAATTAAGGGTTGTTATTAAGCAATGTCATTCGATTATGCTTATTTATAGTGATTTAAATTTATAAAAGCAATAAGGTAAAGATTTTTTAAGTATAGAATTTTTTATGGAGACAAAGGTGTACAAAGTAATACAGAACCGCAAAACCACCAGCTGCATCCGTGAATTTATAAATCATCAAAGGTTAAACATGCAAAGTGTATAGAGACAACACAAAAAAAAAGCGAGATAATAAAATCATGCGAATTAACAAAATGACAGTAGAAAATAAATCGCCAATTACCTGAGCTATACTGCGTATATTGTTGATACTGAGGATGGAAATTATGGATAGCATCTGTCATTATGTCCTTAGGGTTCATCGTTTCCTATATCATCAAAGTGAGAAGGGAAAGAAATTAAAATTGTTTATCGTTATCGTTTAATATATTAAGTACCTTGAGGCTACTAGAAATACTGTGCATTGTGACTGTTCGGCCAGTCTCTGCCGTGTAGACGGAATATGGGAAAGCCGCCCTAAGTGCAAGAGCAGCGAAAAACATTTCAATGCATATCAAGAAGTTCTGGTAGCCCGCAGAGACTGTTCCTGCAGAGGTCGTGGTCCCGTGAGTGTCAATGATCGAGTCGATCACTTGCGCTTTCTCCAAAACGGCCAGAAGTACACCTTAAAGCATACAAAAATAAATAAATAAAATAAGAGATTTTTGACAAAATATATATACAAATTTATTTCTTACCTTGCCAAAATGAAAGAAAGATGACGGACTTGATGGTGCAAAATTTAACAACAGGGTCAAAAGGTGTAAGCATATCCTTTGTGGCGAAGTAGAAAAGGAAAAGCCCGTACAAAGCCAGACTCACGGAAATATTGTATATTATCGTCGCATATAAATACCCTCCAGTTGGACTGTTTTTAAAAAATAAAATAAAAATGATTTAAATTATAAAATAAAAGATCAAAAACCACTTACCTCCAGTCACCATCATGGTATAAGCCCATGCTCTGAAGCTGAATTATCACTAAGGCCATAACGGGCTTCACAAAGCAAAACTGCAAAGTGGCCTGCTTGCAAAATCTCAGAAATCCAATCGTGTAAGTCTTCCCGGAGAGGCAGCACGTCCCGTACGTGCAGCTCGACCTGATAGGCTTCCCGCGTATTTCACTCATGATGTTACCTTCGTTGCCGAGGTACTCGTAACACAGACTCATAAAGTTGTAAATCACAAAAGCTAGAGACAATTTTCAAATGTTAACAAATCTGGTTTAATAGGGAAAAATATATAAAAGTATATATAGTAAATATACCTTCATAGCAGTCTCTAACAGTAAAGAAGTAGATATAATAGTTGTCCTTGTTGAAGAAAAGCAAGCTAACCCAGGAATGCAATCCATATATAGGTACAATAAATAGGATTCGGATAATCCACCGCTGCTGCGATGGGTATGTATACCAGCGTAAATGCTTATAGATCTGCAAAAAAGTTAGCAAAATTAAGCATATTCCTACATAAATTAATACCTTTAGTTGCCTAAATTTGGAAATTATTTTTGACAGAATCAATATCAGCCTTTAGATAATTGGGAACCAAAAGATGATTACTTTCCCCTGGTTATGGTTATACAAAATGATGAATAATCAAAGTGATGATTTGGTTCTTCCACAAGACGATCAAATAAGATTATTTAGTATCAAATGATGATTTAGTTTCACCATGTTATAGTTAACTTTGATGACAGAACCAAAAGATGATTATTTTCCCTCTGTTTTGGATAATCTGTTAATAAGATGATGTATAATCAAATGATAATTTGGTTCTTAAAAGACAGACATATAAGATTATCTTCAATCAAATAATAATTTAGTTTCATCCTGTTATAATTAAATTATAAAAAACGGGATTCCTCAGGTTCGGTTCTCATCATAAAACACCTCGGTTTTTCCTTTCTACCATTGAAGTAAGGGAAGGCAAATATTTGGGCATTTTTTTCGACACAGCCCTTCGATGGAAACCTCAAATAGCCCCAATTGTCTAATTCAGGAAGGAAAATACTATGTCTGATGAGATCCTCGCTAATTATAATTGGGGAGCGAATAGGACAATCTTTTAAGAATAATCAGCATGTACTTAGGAGCAAAGTTTATATACGGAGCAGCATGTTACTCTTCAGCGCAAATATCCACTTTAAAACCACTAGAGGATTTATTACCAAGGTATCAGGATTGCAATAGCGGCGTTTAGTACAAGCCCTTTATACAGTCTCTGCAATGATGCCGGTGTCCTTCCCCCGGATCTTTTCAGGGAGGAGACAATTCTTAAGATCGTTGCTAAGCTTTGTTATAAGCCTTTTCATTCTCTATTTTTTTCAGTTTTCCGTAACTCTTACAAAGATATGTATTCATTCCTAAGAACTAGGATGACACCTTTGGGAATCCGCGGTACTGAAATGTTGATATTAGGAGGGAATACCTTGCCGGCGGTTGAAGGTTTTAAATTGCTAGATATTCCACTGTAGTCATTACCTACGGCCACAATTATCGAAGATCTGGCCTTATTGAACAAAAGAGAAACACTTCTCTGATGATCAGGGCAGAATTCATGTGAATTTTAAATAGCTATCCCAACTATAGTTTTTTATACCGATGGGCCCAAAAATGAAATTGGTGTACGGTGTGGGATATTTGCTGATGAGTACAACCTGAGTCGGTCTCTATCAAATGAGGCTTATTAATATTAATCAATATAGTTTGAGGTAGGGTTAGATTACTTTAGGAATGGTATGGTGAAGTAGGGTCATGGTTAGGGTTAGGTTAGAAAAGGTAGGGTTACAGTTAGTGTTAGGGTTAGATTACTTTAGGAATGGTATTAGGTGAGCTATGGTTGGAGTGGTTAGGGCTAGGTTACTTCAAGAATGGTATGGTTAGGTAGTGTTATAGTTAGGCTTAGGTTAAGTTGTATATCCAAAAATATGTGAGTGTATTTTTCTTTTAAATTCTTTTTTTTATATTCCTGCATTGAAATTGGTTTGTTATCAGTTTCAATTACAGTTTTAAGTACGAATTAATAAAGTAGAACTCAAAAAACTTCTTAAGATATTAATAAACCCGCTTATCGTCTGATAATAATTTAACACCAACAGCCTAATGTAAATTAGACTTAATTTTTACATGAAAATTCAAAATCTGAGATTATTTAAGATTATTTAAGTTACGAATTTATCTAAAACTATTCATAAAAACGAGAGAGAGAGAGAGAGAGAGAGAGAGAGAGAGAGAGAGAGAGGAGAGAGAGACCCATATAAAAAGACAGATCGTATCGAACCAACCTACAACTTCCAATTAAACCAGGGATTTGTATGAAATAACTGTGCTTTGAGTATATTCCCAAGAAATTGAATTTTAATGAGGTCAACAACGAATCTCAAGATGCACAATGTATATTTTCAAATAAAACAGCGAAAACTGAGGGACCCATAAATGTCCTACTTCAGACCAGAAACAAAATGTATAAGTGTTTGAAAAATAGATCCTTTGAGAAAACTCAAAAAAATCAAAAACCAGTACACACCTAACCTCTAATGGAATATAGCGAGAACAAGGGACCAAAGAAGTTCTAATATGTACTGATAAACGTCCAACTGGACCAGGGATTTTATGGAATATCTTAACTTTGAGTATATTCCTAAGAAATTAAATTTTATTTCTTACAACGACAAATATCAAGATCCACGCTGGATGGACTGTTATGGGTCCAAGTGTCAATGAAAAACCTCAACTGCTAAAGGGACTTCAGGACCCCCCAACGTTCGGGAAGAGGGTTTTGAACATCCGGGCAGGATCTCATGGTAGAACTGGTTCTGTTAATAAGCCCAAACGATAGACTTCCGCCAGAACTCGTCGGGCGATGTTGGACTATTTAGAACAAAGCGTTATCGTTCCAATTTAAAGTTTCCGGCGGAGGGGACTTAGGAAATCCACTGAGGTTCAGGTGGGCTTTACCGCACAACGCCGCATTGTTGTACGACAAAGGTAAATTTGCCCCGGGGATTTACCGATCCGCTCTGTCGAGGACAATACAAGTTGAAAGGCTGTGAATAAATCCTTCGAGGGTTAAAATCAAAACGAAAATTTCCTTTTCTTCGAAATTGTGAAGTTTACTCTATTAAAAATACGACTTTTTCCGCTAGTGGTCATAAAACAGTGGCCGCAGTCCAAAGGAATATTTTCGAAGAATGTCGTTTTATTCAGATCTGAAGATTGTGGTCATAGATTGGCCCACAATTCTTTGGAGGTTCATTCTTCTTATTCTTCGAAAATAAACCGAAAATATTGAGAGTCTAGGATGATTTAATGAAATGTAAGTCCAATCCCAGGGATAAAATATAACAACAAATATCAAGATCCGCCGCTGGAAATCAAGTAAAACATCGAAACCTGACGGACCCATACACATCCTATTTTCAACAAGAAACCGAAAAACATCCCAAATTGGGTAAAAAGTAAGATCAACTTCTGTAAAAAAATGGGATTTTAACGTGTATCTACAAAAATTAATTCAAACCTAACAAAACACAGCGAAAACAAGTGGACTCACAGCTGTCCAGCGTGTCATTGAAAACCTCAAAGCTTTAAACTGAATCTACAAGTGTTTGAATCTAAGATCCTTCGGGAATACTACAAAGAAACTCGGCTATTATTTTTTAAAAGATCCAATTTGGATATATAAAAAAAACAGCGAAAACGGACGGGCCCATAATGTCATTAGCTACAATCGCCAATCAAAAAACCATCATTATCAATCGAGAAATTAATTGAATGAAAGCTATTCAAACCACCAACGGAAACGGTAATTCTAACGAGTACTTTCATAAACTTTCAAAAATCAAGAATTAAGTGTTATCAAATAAAACAGCGAAAGCAAACGGACCCAAACACTTCCAATTGAAGGGGTCAGGGGAAAAACAGTACATCTCCATTTTTCTAAATTTTACAGGAGAGCAAAAAATCGATTTACCATTATGTTTGAAGCACTAGGCTGTTCTTAAAAATTTAATGAAAAATACAGCTATTAAATTTAAACACCTTTCACATCAAATCAAAAATTAAATATTGAAAATATTTTTGCAATATGGATAAATTTTCATTTGGAAAAACAAATCGTGTACTTAGCCTGTTTTTCCCCACAACGTTTCAATTGTACTGATGAAATTCAAAACTTCCAACTGATCAAGGAATTTTATGAAATGTCTCTACTTCGAGTATAATGTGAAATAAATTGAGTTTTAATGGATATAACAAATATCAATGTCCACACTGGATATCAAATAAAACAGCGAAAACAAACGGACCCACATACGTCCTACTTTCGATCAGAAACCGAAAACCATCTCGAAGAAAACCAACAAGTGAATAAAACGAGAATATGGATTTTAACGTGTATCTGCACAAAACAACCTGGCTGCTTCGAGAAACCAGCGAAAACAAGCGGACCCACAGCTGCCCAGCGTGTCATTGAAAAACCTCAAAACCTTAGTGATGCATGAAACCTGATTTTTCGAGAATTCTCCAAAGATACTGGAAATGTGGATACAAACGATTTTTTTTTTTTTTTCAAAGATCAAGACCTACTGATAGCTAAAAAGTATAGCGAAGACAGGCGGACCCACAAATGTCTAACTTGAATCATAACAGTGAATCAACGAGATAACAATGAAACGAAATTTCTTCAAGGATAAACCAATGTAATGTGGATTTTAATGAAGTAATCCTGTTGAAGAAGAACGACTACTCATCCCGGTCCGCCAATCCTCGCTGGTTGTGCATTTTAAACTAGTTTGGAAAATTCGCAGTTTGTCTGAGTGTAAATTCTAAGTTTTTTAAATTTTAACGAATATAATAATGTATGGCTAATGTGGAAACACAAGGCCAAAAAAAAATTAACTAAGAAAAAAGTTTATTTTGAATTAAGTATCTTCAAACGTGAAATACCAATGAGATGTCTATGAAACTCATACTGGTCCGCCCGTTATCGCTTTTTGACCAATGTAACGACATTCCGAATTGGATAGGGAGAGAGAACGAGCCATGAAAAGAATTTTATTGCGGAACGCGGCACCCGACCTGTACTCTGGTTATTCACGGTCCGTTGAAGAAGACGAGAATCTTCAGATCGTCTCATGCCACAAATGAAGTTGGACCGAACTTGGCTATGTCGAAAAGGAAGAAGGAGAAAGTATCCGACTGGTTTGCATAGACGGTTTATTTTAATCGGCGGCCTTTCACTCTCGTCCGCCTAATCGACACAGCTGAATTGGTCCAATTTAAAAAAAAAGGTCCACCCATCTTCGCTGTTTTCCCCTGGATGTCAACAGTCTGGTTTGCCCTCGTTGTTGCAATTGATCAGTCCTTTGTTTCACCTCTTTTATGTCAGGTTTAAATCCTTGATTTTGGAAAATACGCATTGCAAGATTTGA